GCAAACTCAAGATTGAATAAAACAGTTCCATACACTTTGATTACATCATCTTGGGAGGTAGATATTTTAAGGTTGTCTTTTAAATAAGATATTTTAGATATTTTAGGTAGATATTTTAAGGTTGTCTCGGATAAACCTCAAATCAACCTTCACACCTCATATAAACCTCCCAAAATACCTTAAACTTTAGTAAATATATCATTTTAAAATCATTATACCAGTTATATATATTATGCCCGTTATATGTGATGCCTATTATTTGAAACCTTTACAAAAGCGTACGTATTTTCTTTCATAGAAAGTTTATCTATGAAAATGTAATGTTACAATTGTCTAGTAATAATTAAAACACCATCTAATGTAAATTGCTTATTTCAAATAAAGTAAAAATACAAAGCTGAAAAAAAAGTAAGTATAATTAAATGTAAACAGATTCTTTCATATTTTGTAAAATACAAAACCCGATTTTGCGATAGTTATTTCAAGGTTGGTACAAATGCTCAAAATAAATTAAAGCACAAATTATGTGACTCATAAACTATTTTAAATTGCGTTATCTTATCTTTTATAAAAAAAATTTAAGCAAAAAAAGAATAAAACAATAATTTAATATGGATATTTAGCTTGGCGTAATTTTACAAGATTGTCAATATCGAGGTAAAATTCTAAAAAGCAATATTAAATCTCATCATCTAGTTATATGCAATCGGTTTTTGATTTAAATTAGCTTATCAGGTTTTTGTACAGAATCCCGTCTGTACAAAATAAGCTGCAAAAACAAATAAGAATGTTTCTGGTTTCCATAATTCAGGGTACATGATAGCTACTTCTTTTAGTAATCAAAGCGCTTGAATTTTCAAAATATTATTATTGACATTACAAAATTTATTGATCACGCATTTAATTTTATTACTGACGATAAAATTTATTTTAGAATGATATATTTTTGAACTGTTTACTTATTTCCTTAACACTTATCGATATATCTTCACATCGATATATCTCCGCCTCGCATATGGTATTAAATTTGGTGTCGCTCTTGTGCGAGTCCGAAATCTATGATAAATATTCTCTGTAAATTTATGTATTCATTGCTTTTGGCTATGAATATCGACATCTTGTCTATACCGAAGGTAAACATTGAAAAAAAATGAATACCATTTGTATAACTATCACTATGCATGCTATATATCTCCAGTTTAACACTAGATTGCCCAAGGAAGTCATTTTGACTGCTTTTTCATTTGCAAAAAACGTACAAATAATAATGAATAAATTACTTTTTTTTCCAAGTGAAGTAAATTTTTTTATTNTAACCATGAACAGTAATAGCATTTAATAGTTATTTCAAGGTTGGTACAAATGCTCAAAATAAATTAAAGCACAAATTATGTGACTCATAAACTATTTTAAATTGTGTTATCTTATCTGTTAAAAAAATTTTTAAGCAGAAAAAGAATAAAACAATAATTTAATATGGATATTGAGCTTGGTGCAATTTTACAATCAATATCGAGGTAAAATTTTAAAAAGCAATTTTAAATCTCATCATCTAGTTATATGCAATCGGTTTTTGATTTAAATTAGCTTATCAGTTTTTTGTACAGAATCCCGTCTAAACAAAATAAGCTGCAAAAACAAATAAGAATGTCACTGGTTTCCATAATTCAGGGTACATAATAGCTACTTCTTTTTGTAATCAAAGCGCTTGAATTTTCAAAATTTTATTATTGACATTACAAAATTTATTGATCAAGCATTTAATTTAATTACTGACGATAAAATTTATTTCAGAATGATCAAAAGAGAGGTTTTGTATATTTTTGAACTGTTTACTTATTTCCTTAACACTTATCGATATATCTTCACATCGATATATCTCCGCCTCGCATATGGTATTAAATTTGGTGTCGCTCTTGTGCGAGTCCGAAATCTATGATAAATATTCTCTGTAAATTTATGTATTCATTGCTTTTGGCTATGAATATCGACATCTTGTCTATACCGAAGGTAAACATTGAAAAAAAATGAATACCATTTGTATAACTATCACTATGCATGCTATATATCTCCAGTTTAACACTAGATTGCCCAAGGAAGTCATTTTGACTGCTTTTTCATTTGCAAAAAACGTACAAATAATAATGAATAAATTACTTTTTTTTCCAAGTGAAGTAAATTTTTTTATTGTTAATATTTACTAATAATTTGTTATATAACTGCAAATAATATCAAAAGTATTAAAAATTAATTAGACAAATTTCTTTACACATTAGTTATTCTTTCACAATGCAGTAATTTTTACTGCTTTTGGGCAATTTAGGTATTAACTCTTTCTAGTGTTAAATATTCACTAAACAAAGCAAACACAAAGCCTCGCAATTTATTCTGATTCAGCTATCGCCCCCCTAGCCTCAGGCACCCCCTGAGGACCGTAACATCCACGCTGGGAACCAAGGATTTAATCTAAATTTTCCAAGCAGGCGTCTTGAATTTCAGTAATGGATTTAAATTTATATTTCTCCCTGAGTAATTCATTTTCATAAAATTAAGAGATGAAATGCTTTTAGAAGAAACCGGTTAATTACATTTATATTAACTTTTTTGTACTTTTGTTCATGTAATTAAACGATATATAAATTCACCTATCATGCCATAGAAAAAAAATTAACTGATTATATGGTGTTTGGTTTATTCTATACTTCTTAATTTGTAACATTCCTCTACACAGGTGGTGCTAATTAAAAATATTAATTAGAGCAATTCCAATTGTTTCTTTTTGTTGTTTTATTAAAGAAACAATGGAAAATATTAAAATCACTGACTATAAGTATTAATTCTATCGTGAAATGCAATAGTACTTTCATAATTTCATCGCAATTCTTGGTTATTCTTGAACAGTATAATCTTAGAAAAAAGAATTACACTAACAGAATGGAATAAAGAACTATATTAACAGACTAACTACTGAATAAAGCTGTAAATTATAGTGTTAATTTAATCATATCAACTGTGTATTATAAAAGTGATGGACGGTATTTAAGTTCAAGGATTTAAAATACCCGATATTTTCTAAATTTCAACAGTACTTTTAAAATTCCATCTGAATATAATCGATAGTTGTTGAAAACATAGAAAAAGTTATTTTCGAATAAAACCGATTAAAGTTATAATTATTAAGTATTACTTGAATCATTACGGTTGTTCTTTTTCTCTATATTTATTGCAGAGGGAGAAGATATTAAAATTCAATAACATAGTGTTCTGTAAAAGATATTCAACTACTTATAAATTCCTTTAATGCCTTTTTAATTCAAGATGAATTCTCCCGGTTGTTATCGAACAACGATACGAAGAAAAACTGGTTATTGAGACACACATTTTGAATGAAACTATATATTTTGTTTTAATTTATTATAGGTAAAATAGTATGTATTGCAGCATTATTGAATAATCTGTTCCTTAAAATCTGCCGTCTTTTTGTACTAAATGGAAAAGTGAAAAGGATTTAATTAACCTAACTTGCTTCCGGCTCATTGCCTATATACATTTAGGCTCATTGGAAAATATATTATGCATTGATCACTTCATAACTTTTTACACGTCTATAACTAAAGCCTTTAACTAACGTGCCCTTATAGCCTTTTTATAGTTCGTTCACCAGGAGTTGGCACTTGGCTCCGCCTTCATCACGTGGTATAGGACGATACTATTTGGGAGAAGGTAGCGAGCAATCCTGAACAAGATTGCTATTTGGCGATCGTATGGCAAAAATATTTATTTCGCCAAATTTATGAGCATTTTTTTGATTATTTCACAAATTTGATGATATTTCGCCCCTTTTTCATAGTATTTTTCTCTTTTGAGTAAATAGCCTTTTTGAGACATTTTCTTTGGGAAACAGCAGTTTTTAAATTTAAAATATATTTAATCAGTCAGAGAAATGAAAGGTATAATAGCAGATGATAAAGTGAAGTAAGTGACTGAAAGAAAAGTCACTATTCGTGTTTGGGGCGCATTAAAGGTAGTCTCAATTTCAAGCGCGGAGATGTTTCTCTTCTTACTCCCGTTCTGAAATGAACTCTGCGTCCAAGGAGGTGGAGACAAGTGCCAACTCCTGGTGAACGAACTATAATTCAAGATGAATTCTCCCTGTAGATATTGTAGAACGTTACGTAGAAAAATGGTTATCGGTATACATGTTAAGTTTAAGCATATTTCTATTTTTTCCTTTTATTTTATTATAGGAGAAATTGTATATATCGTAGGCTTATGAAATAATCCATTTTCTATAAACATCCGTCATTTTGTAATAAATAGAAAAGTTCACAGGATTTAATAAGCCGTTTCTTTCCGGCCTATTGCTGTTTACCCTTTTTTTAACATTAACATTAAGGTTGATTGGGAAACATATCAGTCATTGGTCAATTAGCCTGATTTATTTCAGACAATTTGCCCAGAGTATTGAAGGCTAATTTTATGACCTATGTTAACCAGCTGACCCAATTCTGAGCTTACCACTATCAATGTTCAACTTCTTAGAATTGTAATTTTGACCCAACTCAGAAGACTGATGAATAAGAAATGGTGAGGAAAACCACGAAAACCTCAAACGGTTTTCCCGACGGCAAGTGGATTCTAACTCATGATCACACGTCAGCATTATAATCGGTGCGAGTCGAAGCGGAATTCGTATGTACCAGCCACCGCTGTTATTTGAACCTGGGTCACCTCACTGGGTCGCATGCTCCATTAACTGAGACACCGCAGCTCAGGGAAAGTTAATTGGTAAAGATTTACTGGAATGAGTCTAAGCACATTCAGTCTGAGTGAATAATTCTTAGCACATTTCTTTACTAGCCTAGGTAGATTGTAATAAGCATAAAAATTATCGTGTAGATTAGAAAGTACCGAAGATTGTGGCATAGTGCTAGGAGCAGATTTTTTCAGTTTATGACATGTATTTCTAATGGATCCTTCATGATGTTTAATTCTTTCAGCGGTAGTGATGGATGTCCAAGAGGATGGATGTCCGGAGGAGGACCCCATCCTTATACCACCTCCCCTTCCTCATCGGACTCACGCACAACTTACTCAAGAAGAGAAGAAATTTCTTCTATCGGTCGAAAGAGGAGATCTCGCCACTGTCAGAAGGTGAGTCCCGATGCTTTTTCTTACCTAAGATATCGATTACGATGATTTTAAACTACAAGTATCGATATTAGTTGCAATGCATTATTACAATCGAAATGGTCACAGGATGTTCCGTAATGACCATCCTTAATTTATTCTTAATAATAGTACTTTTTTATATAATGTTTATCTAATGCCCACCTGGAGGATGACCTTTCGTCATACAGACATATGAAGGGCAGATTTGTTGGCCACTCTTTCAGGGGCACCATATTAGGTATGCCTACGTTGCTCCCACAGTAGGGACAGAGAAGGAAAGAACACCCATGCCTTGCCCGGGAAGGTGACTCTAACTCATGATCCACTAAGATACCACTAAGGATATTTTACGACAGCACTGTGGTCAGTGCGAGCCGGATGCTGAATTTGTATCGACCAGCCACCGCTGGGACTCGAACCCGGTTCATTGGGAGGCGAATGCTGTATCCCACTGATCCACCAATAATTATATTCTTGCTAAAAATGAGATTTCCCCACCGTAAGAGGTTTCTAGGTCAACAATCTTCATAATAATAATAATTGGTACTCTTTCCCGCCCAATACTGAGCTCATGGGAAGTCATCACATTAGAGTTCCTAAGATGGAACCCAACGTTCTCTAGAGACACGCACGGTCGAAGGACTTGACAATGTCCCTGACCTCACGATTATTAGCAAACTCAAAATAATGCAAAACACAAAAAGAAAGTTTTAAACAAAACATCATTCGAGTTGTAAAATTCGAGTGGAAAATATCAAATAACCATGAACAGTAATGGAATGTAAAAACATAAAATAAAAATCTTTACAGAAAGGAAAACCATCACATCACAACTAAAACTGAGTAAAAAATCAATAACAAGAGATAATTGGCAAAAGTTACTTAGTAAAATGCAGCCTCGTTTCATTAAAAGTGAAGAGTTATGTTAAAGCAATAGTTGAAAATTAAACTCATCGGTGAAAACGTCGAAAGTTAAAATTGGAAAAAAAAAAAGTTGAACGAGGTTTTAAAAGTATGTTGTTACCCGTATGAATAGTATAGGTTTCATCATCAGGGTTAAGATCGTCTTCCAAAGTTTCCTTTGCCTAGTTTTTTAATAATTCTTTTTTGTAGCAGTGCTAATTCAAAGGCTTTCGTTTTTATTATGCTCAAAGTGTTGATCACGAAGTGTTTCCTACCTAAGACAGTAGAGAATAAATAGTGAGTGTCAATTATGATGATCATAAGATAGTAAATATTTGGATCGGTGGATGAGTCGTTCGAATTCAAAACAAACCTTGGTTATAGGGGGTTAATTAATAAACCACAACAGTTTCCTTACATCACTGCTGTTCTGTTAATTTTTGGTTCTCGAGTTGTTAACGCATGAGGATATTAAACCTCATATAACATTGTAAACTACAGTCCCTGGCCTAATTATTAGACGTATTATTAGATTCTATGTAAAATATTAATCATACAGCTTTTTTTGCGCGACTGAAACTCGTCTGCACTTGCTTACGTTAGTGTATCTATTGGTTAAATTCGACAATTAGATAAATTAGACGATATATTATATAAATATAGAATATTTATTATATCAGGTATTATATTATTATATTATAATAATTAGACCAAATTATGAGACGCACTGTACTTTCTTAATAATTATTACATGATTTGCACGAGTTTGTATTTTATCTCATTTATATTTAAACATAATGGGTTTTTATTCAGGAGATTTTTATATACTTCCTATTTGTATTTATTTTTAACATATTGCATTACAATGTTAACCAATGGATACAAGAACGTAAACAAGTGCAAACCGGTCTCATCCCAGTAAAAACAATAAAGTTGTATGGTATTATCTGATAACTAAAATTTTACATCGAATCTTGTAGTGCGTCTAGTAATTGTTACAGTTTTTAAGCAGTTTTTAAGAACAGGAATAATGCAAAATGGTTTGTTGATTGCATTGAAATAATTGTAATTTCTGAAATATTTGACTCGCTTGGCAAATTTTATTTCAATGACATTAGTAATCAAAAATTTAAAATATAAGAAAGAAGAGAATTCAGGGAAACCTAAGAGTAAATCATGCAGCTTTAAATAGTGAAATTTTACATTCACAATATAAAAAATATATGAGTGAGAAATAATCCTGTCATAATTTCACTGTTATTTGATATTTTGAAAAAGTCTCTTCAGGTTTTCTCTTAATGAACAATCAAACCAACGTAAATGAAGAACAAATAAAAACACAAATTCTGCCATTTCAGTTTTTTCAATGCTTTATTCTCCCAGTTTTTGCCTTATTCATTCCTAGCTCACGAAACACCCTTTCTTTATGTTTGATCTTAATGGTTCAAACCATAAAGATTTAAATATTGAAATTTTACAATCAAAATATGAAAATACAAACAAATTATAGAAAGAGATGAGAAATAATCCAAACACTGTCATTTGATATTTTGAAAAAGTATCTTCGAGTTTTCTCTTAACGATTAATCCAACCAACCTGAATGAAAAGCAAATAAAGACATAAATTCTTCCTTTTGGTTTTTTATTTATGCTTTATTCCTGATATTTTTGCTTTATTCATTCGTAGCTCAAGATATACCCTTTCTTTGCGTTTAATCTTAATGGCTAATGCTTTACTTGAATTCAGTGTTGTAGTGGTAACAAAAGTTTTACCGGAATGCAAATCACCGCACAGGGGTCGGGTAGGGTAAAATTTTCAAAACCTTCTTCCACTTAGGCATTCTTATTTTTAATTTCTTGCAGTCTCTTTTTCTCACAATTTAAAGAAAATAAAGAATTCTAAACATTTTCATATCCACTTATTGATTCCACGACATTTATTTTCATTTTATTTTCCTTTGTAAAAATCAGTTTCAAATATTATATGAGCTTGCAGATTATTATTATATATTAATACATTGAACTGCTTAAAACAATTCAAGAAGTTTCCATACTGAGTAATTGTTTTCCTCTTTATCGAGAAGATTCCTTGAAACATCTAAAAAGGGAATATACTTTCGTTTACTATAATTTAAATATAAAAATGTAATATTAATCTATGTCTACAATATCAATCAATTAATCGTCCTAATATACCACTATTGCTCCCTTATTTGCTACGTTAGTGAAGATTGCATATATATATATATAACGTCGTTGCCGAGAGGAAGGATAAAAGCAGGTCTTAGGAAGAGGATACGAAATATATTTATTAATTATTAGACTGAGAACAGCTATCAAAGTGGACACGAAATCGTTGTGCTCCTCAATAAAAGTTAGGGAAAATCTTTCAAAGTAAATACGTAAAATGTTTCATTTTAGGGAATAAGGGAAAAATTAGTAATCGTTATTGGTTTGTTAAAAGGGTCCAGGGAAAAAGTCTTTTTCACGACTAGTTAGAGGGCTAATCACCAGAATGATAATTAATGCATACTTGAAATAAAAATAGATTAAAACACAGGATGTGAATTTTTAAGTGTGAAAAAGAGCGTTTCGTTTTGAATAATAAATTCAGGAAAAGTTTTTACAGAAAAGACATAACATAAAAAGATTAGTTGAAGCTTTTTATGTGACACACACACACGCACACACACATATATGAATATATATATATACCGTTGTATCCCTTTACATGATGTTAATGGGCTATGGAAACTTACTCTATGAACTTTTTCCTATACTTCAAATTACTTGAGTTGTAAAAACAGAAAATTGGCCATGAAGGGTTTCTGCCGCGACATGGCGTCCTCATAAACTTCCACTAAATAATATGTTTAGTTCATATGCCAACTACGTAATAGAAGCGATGACGGGAATGGATTCTTGTGTTTGTTTGGAAGGGGGGGTGGGAAATGGGCGATGAGTGAGAAGACCCTGATTGTTTCTCTCAAAACAGCGGAAATAGCCAAAACCTCGTTAAAAGAAACATTTGTTATGGCTTCATCGCTTCGCTACTCCAGACTCCGCAACAATAGAAGGTAAACTTTCTTTCCTTCCAACTCCGCACTTCATTCTATTGCTACATTTTCTACCCCATTCAATTCATTTCTATTATTTAAGTGAAACTTTTGATTGTTGATTATGCTTCACGGAAACTGATTTAACTCAATTTGCTTTCAGTAGTTTAACTGTAAACCCCAGATTGTCTTTGAGTGACATGATAATATTAAAGGAAATATCGATACGTATTGAAAGAAAGTATCGGTACTTTATAATATCACTCATAAATGTTTACTTACGTTTAATCAAAAGATAGTAACGATTAGTATTTCCAAAACATTAAATTATATTTGATCCGACAATAAAAGAAGGCAAACTCACTTTTTTTCGAAATTTCGCACTTCAATCTTTTACTGCATTTTCTCACCATTTACTTGATTTTTATTAGTTAAGGGAATCTTTTTAATATTGAGCGTACGGCAAGATTAGGCTGCACAGAGGTTAGTTCACGTCGGTTTTTCCATCGATCACTCTTTTAATGATAGATAATATAAAAGAAAATGTCGATACCTAAAGGAAAACATCGCTACATTTTAGTAGACTAGCCGCCTGCAGCGATTCGCCAACACGAACTCATAGATCAGTGTTTCCCAAAGTGTGGTATGCGTACCCCCAGGGGTACGGGAAAAGTTTAGCGGGGGTACGCGTTCTTAAGCGAAATATCTTGCAACAAACGAAAATTTCAATTTTTTTTTTAGAAACAATATAGCCATGAAAATTTATGATTGCGTATTTTTCTATCGGCTATTTTTTGCTGAGTTAACAGCTAATAATCAGTGGGTGATGTCAACAGATAGTTGTGATTTTTAACTTTTGTGCAATTTCTTTATAGTAAAGGTTTGGTAATAAATTCTACTTATTTTGATTATTTTTATAAAATATAATATTTATCCCTAACATAGAATACGGATCACTGGTTAGTATCGACAAAACTTTGTTCTAAAAAAGAAAAACAATTTTAAAATAATACATTCATTATA